ATTGGATTCCAATGGCTGGCAGCAGAGCCCCATCCAGTCAGGTTTAACTGGCAGCCTTCCAAAGGCAAGATGAAAGGTTCTCTGAGTAGTAATTGTCTAAATGGAACAGACTCTGGTTATTGTGCAGCTTCTTCATCTACTTTATTGTACCTTTATAATTAAATGATGTAATTCCCTTTTTTCCTTTCTTGTTTTCCTCTCAGCTATTGCAGGAAAGCATCTGAGCAACATTGCCATAGGATGCAGGCAGACTCTGTGGCTCCTTTTTTTTTTCTGGCTCACTACAAGCTGTATACAAGGAGTTGTGAACTACTGGTTGCCAAAGCAAGACATAAACTTTGCCTTCTCCCAGACACTCACCTGCATTCCAGCTCTCTGGCTTCTTAGTGCTGGAGTTGGTTGGCTCACTCAGAGTTGTCGCTCGGGTGAGAGATTGCTGCTTTTGCTAGAAACTCCACAGTAAACAGGCAAAGAGTGGATCTGGTAGGACAGAGTGAACACTATGCTCAAAGGGGCCTCCAGCAGCAAGGCTATCCAGTTTGTGGAGGAGACTGGACAAACATATGAGAATCAGAAGAAATCCAGAATATTGTGCTGAACAAACCCAGAGCCAGCATTTCCTGACTCTGCAAGGTTTTAGGAATCAGGAGTGAAACTCTGGTCCTGAGATGCTAAAAGGTTTGATCAGACGTGAAAGTAGAATCAGAGGAACAGCTCTGTTAGCTCTTTCTTCTTCACTGGTCCCTCTGTACAAGAGTGCTTTCCCTCAGTCCAAGTAGTCCACTCCCAGAAATATAGATTATTCAGCAGAGTAAAAGTTAGCAAGACTGAGAACTCAGATTGCATGTTCAACTCTAATGATTTTTTTACTGATTGTCATTTCTGTTGTTTCTGATTTGATTTATTTTTTTCATGATGACAAAGAGAAAAAATGAACTGCCTAATTTTGTTTCAGCTTCAGAATACTCCTCAGGTCTTTGGTCTCATGCTTGTCTGCCTCTCCCTGAGTATTCTTACTAAAAGGGGAAAATGATGCCTTAAGTTTTAACTTTCATATTTTTCAGATTCTGTGCTGCCTAGGTGTGTAGTTTTGAGCTTCATGTTAAGTGTCAGTAAGTTCTCTTCACAGGGTAGGTAGACAAAACAATCCTTTTCCAGCTTGGTACCAAGGACAATCGTTACAAGTTTCAGGCCCAAAAGCATAAACAACAGTTGGACTGAAGAGAGCAAACAAGGAGGATGGGACTTCATAACCTGGAGCTGTAATTGGACAACTAACCCCAATGTGTAAATGGACCAAAATGTGTAAAAGTGTGAGACCTCATGACCAGTTGTCCATTTTGTGACCATTTTGGGTCCATCTTGGGTGTGGCCATGTCCAGGCTCTTGTACTGCCCAAGGTGTATCCTTTAATGCCTTTTAATAAATACCTACTTAATTCTTAACCCTGTCTAGCCTCTGTTCTAGGTCAGCCTTCTGAAGGCATCAGTTACAATCTCTTTTAATTCATTGCCTATTTACCTAATAGTATTATTTTGAAATATTCACATGGGTTCCATGAAAATACCAAAAAAGTATAGAAGAAATAAAAATAGGACCAATTATTTTATATATGCATTACTATCTATTATACCTATATATTAAAAACCTGAAACAACAGATCTCCAGTTTTTTCTAGCAAAATCCAGCATAAAGGTCTTGATTTACTTCCCAGAAAGTAAAAACAAATACAGAATAGAATTACGGAAGCAACCCAAACTATTCAGGAACAGAACTGGTTTTTAAAATCACTGGTATCAGAATATTGCCAAGTACCACAATTCCTGATCCTGCCACAAGCCATTGCCTATAGCTTGTATTAATTTCAGCAGAGTTCATAAGCAGAATAACTGCAGGGTATTTGCAAAGCTAGTTAGGCTCTTAATGACCATTTTTTGTTATACTTTGATAGACAAATCTCAGTAGACCATTCTCAATACTGGAAGCTTTGCCTAGGGAAAAACGTAGGATCTGTTTTAAACTAAATGGATCACAGATCCTGTCCACCTTTTAAAACAAACAAACAGAATAACAAAACACTTCATAAAATTTATATATTCAATTATATATAACATTACACACCAGATTTGGGGCCAGAACCTGCATTAGTTCATCCACTTCTGGAAGAGCTATACTACATTAAATTAACAGAGGAAAGAGAGTTAAATCTCTATATACCAATAAGAGCCTTTTTTATAAGGTATTTGCCCTGGATCTCACAGGGTGATTTCATTTGTGCAAGGATATGTGTAACCCCAGTCAGGTTATTTGAACACTACACACAGAGAATATCTGCAGCCCCTCACATCTGCACCTGACACTCTGTCCACACACCCATCCCTGCAACTCCTGACTCCCAAAAAAGTATCTCTCATGGAAGTGAGAGATACTTTTAGTTTTAACTTTTAGTTAAAAACTTTTTGTTTTCACTTTCATGATAGATCCTGTTGGTATGAACCTGGAATACCTGACTTCCTTTGAACTCACAGCTCTTCTCAACATTGGACAGCAATAACACTTACTACACTTTCATCATATAAGTGAGGATCAAAAAGGAAACATCTCCATTTTTATTTCTGAGCAAGTCAAACACTTTATTTTATTGAATTGCCATTATACTTGCTTTTTCTGTGTTTCAGTCTAGAGGGGGCAAAGGAACACACACCTCTATAGCATTTATGGGTGACTCTTCATCATGGCTGAGAGCTATAGCACAGACAGATCCTCACCCCAGAAAGGCCATCCAATGAACTAAAATGCTGCTGTTCAATGGTACACGTCTCCCTCCTTTGACACTTCTCTCATCCTACAATGAGATTTGTTAGAAGCATATCAGAAAACCTTCAGAGCAGGCAAGGAGTGACACACCCAGATATTTGCACACAGCTTCTTTATGTGCACAAGTTGCACTTCTCACCTGGGGGCAGTGACTTTGCGAAGTGGCTCTCTGGCCACCTGCAGACACACATATCCAGGAGTGTGTGTGCAGGGACACTCACTGCGCCTGAGCCCGGGGAATCCCTGGCTACCAGCTGTGTGCTGTGTGTTTAGAGTTAGTTCATACACTCACACACACTCATTCATTCACACATACACAAACACAAGCAGACTACATCAAGATCTTTCAAAGACCACCTTCTCCTTCATTTAACCACCTCATTTTGATTTGTCACATTTTTCCCTATGGTTAACGCTTAGCAGAGCTGCCATTACACATAACCCAGCACCATGCAATTTCAGCTGTTTCAGGCAGGAGAAATGGACATTCCTGATCCCAGGACAAGGCAGGTAGAGAAAGAGGAAAGATTCTCACTTATTTCAGGATGAAAATCCTCTCTAATAACCACAGCTCCATTTGCAAAGGTGAGCTCTGTTGACACGTTTGCCAGCTGTCAAGGTTGAATTTGTTTATGCCCCAAGCACAGTGAGCACACGTGGCAGAACAATCTAGTTCACCACGGCCAGCCCAGCACATAGCATCCTCACCTAGGTAGGAGAGAGTAGGAATCACTCCCTTGGCACTGGAACCAGCAGCAGGGTGTCTGGGTGCTGAGGGGCTTTCGACATGTCCGCTTGCCCTCTACAAATGGGGCTGAAGACACCCATCTATTTCCTAGGAGTTGTTAACTGGCAGCTGGATATGAAGGGTCCCTAGCAACACAGGCAAGATCCCAAGCAGTGATCCAGGTACACCACCTGCTTGGATGGCTTGGTACAAGTTTCTACCATGCTACTCACATCCAGTGCCCACTCATAAAACACATGGAACAAAACACGTGCATGGGCAAACATTGGGTGTGAGAGAATACCCTTCCTGAGTAAGTAGCTTTAGGCAATAATTCCACTTGTAATGTCTGAGGAGGGAATTAATGAAGGCTATCCAGAGAGTTTGGGATAGAGAACACTCTTGGAAGACAAGTATTTTGGAAGATGGCACAGAAGCAATGGTTTCACTACAATGGAAATTAACCAATGGGGAATCTTCTGACTGCAACAGGAGAGCCACGGAAGGAAAATGTTATTTTGTAGTACAGAGTAACCATGCTGTGGGTAGCAAAGATGTCATCCTTCACTGAAACCCTGATCATCCTGCCAAAACATGCACCTTCTGTTTAGGCAGGGGTTAATGCATGTGGCCCCTTCCTATACTTCAGATCAAAGAAACATTTCAGGCAAAATGACCATCACCTTGAACCACTACCCTGGGGGAAAAATTAAGACAAAGGACCAAAAAGCTAGACAAAAAATAGCACAAAAATGCTACAGGCGAACAAAAGCATCTCCACCCCAAGAGAAAATTATTCCTTTCTAATAAATTCATGTAATGTTTTACAGATATTGAAAATATTCCAAAGCATAGTTCAGTGTAAACAGCAAGCTGGGTCTCCTCCTGCTCTTTAGCATTTCTCTTTGTTTACTCTCCATTTGAGGATAGAAAAAGCCTACATGTGAGCATTGTAAATGGTATATTTCAGGATGGATGGGGCATTCAGAAAGGCAGTGATGAAACACAGACATACGTAGCCTCCAACAAAATACTATGTGCTTTGCCTGAGCCACCAGGGTCAAACAATTTTTTTTAAAAAGAAAATTTAAAAATCCAGTGTCTGCTTAATGAATACTTCTTTTTTTGTGTGTGGAAATAATCTGATACCATGGTGATGGAAAGACTATATCAAGATTAGAGAGAGAGGCATGAAAGAGATATTCCAGGGTGTGTGTGTTCTCACGCCCATTGCTTCTTGCTCCCAAACCCCATGTCTCAGGAGTAGAGATCCTGTGGGAAATTGCCCTGGCAGTGCTTCTGGAAGCAATGCCCAGCCAGGCCAGTTCACCTATTGCAAGGAGAGGTACTTGGCTAGAGACGCTAGCTCCCATCTGTGAGCCCAAATGGCTCTGCTCAGCCCCTGCTCATCTCAAGAGAGCTTGGCATGTTCATCTGGTAAAAAAACAGCCCTTACCTTTGGCAATCAGCTCCTCCAGCTCCTGGTCGAATCCTTGTCGGTGGCATTTCCTCCAGAGCCCCATATTGGTGGAGTTGTACTGTCTGTTGCACTCGTCGACTGCGCTCATAGCAAAGATCTGCCTCCTGTTTCTTGCCAAGAGGAGTTTCCCTTCCCAGCGGTCCAACCTAGACCTGCTGGCCCTGAGAGGCAGGTTGTTGTTGGAGTTATAAATGAAGCCAGGATCATTTCTCTTAGTGGTGATGCTCTTGCACCTCTCTCTGTGCTTCCTGGCATCAGTTTCATACCAATGGTCAGAGCAGATTGCCACAGCCAGCATGCCAAGGGCACACAGAGCTAAAGAGAGGCCAGCATAGAGCAGTAACCTTCCAGCAGCCATGCCTCAGCTTCACAGAAACACCATGGACATCTTCACAACAGGCAAAGCCGCTGGGGGTGAGACCACGCAAAAACCACCGGAGCAGCTGCTAGGTGTCACTTGGCACAGACTGCCTCAAACATCCCAAACTCCCGTGGCTCACATCCACGCTGCAGAGGGATGCTGAGAGCACTACAAAGTTCTGCCCTGGAGGCAGTCTTGGAGTCTCATCTGCCTCTTCTCCTCTGCAGAGGAGACCTGGTGAGGAGAAGCACAGCCTTTCACCAGTGACCCCCGCACTGCCAGCACCCGAGTGACGGGGCCTGAAGGGCTGAATCCCCCTGAAGAGACCCGATGGCTTATCAGTTCATTAATCTCTTTCAATCTGGCCCACTCAGAAATCCAGAAGAGATGGCTTTCAGATCAGCAAGCTCACTACAGCATCATCACAGGACAGAAAAGTTCAGCAGCCTGACATCTCCCACTTGCAAGCAGCCAGCTGTCCCGGTTTCAGGAACGGGTGACTTGCCTTTTCCTCCTCAGTGGCTCAGCAAGAGCATCATCGTCTGGACGGCCGGTCACTTGCTTGGCTTTAAAGCGGGGTCGGAAGGGAGGGAGCAAGAGCGGGGGAGCAATCTGTTGTTGTTGTTGCTGCCGCTGCCGCTGCTGCTGCTGCTGCTGCTGCTGTTTGAAATCGTGGTTAAAACATCCCCTCCCCGGCTGGCTCTGGGAACGCGGGCACTCACGGGTCTCTCCCTCAGCAGACTTCGCTGACAGCCACTGGCATCTTGGCTCCGGAGACACCTCGGCTTCTCTCTGCCAGCCTTGCCATTCACTCTCCCGCTTTTGTCGTAGGCGCCGTCATCCAGGCAGCCGAAGGTCGCGCTGCCTCCGTTCCCCGGCGCTCCCGGGCANGGGCGGAGGGGCGGAGGTGGGGGGGAGCTACACACCTTACACGGGGAGAGGAAAGCAGCCCCTAACTGTTGTCAACAGCTTTCGGGCTGCACCATTTCTCTGCCATATGGCCCGGTCTCCTCGTCGGAGATGAGATTTTTTAGCTCAGCAGCTTCGTACGAATCGTATCCCCGGCATCAGTAGTTATATATGCAGACATATTTCTTTCTCTTTAAATTTTCACTCCCTTTCTCTTTAATGGGAATAACTCACCCATCTTGTAGATATCAAGTGCAACAGAAGGCGGGCTGGAGTCCCCAAGCTTTAGAAATCTCATTTCACCGTTTTTAACCCAAATAATAGCAAATCCAATCTTCTGTACACCTGGGAATCTTTCCTTGTTCAAACACCGAGCCCTGCAGCCTTGGCCGAAGCCTACAGACCGAGCATACAGAGCGCTGAGCCAAAAGCCAGTGATGTCACCCATGCAACGTGAGACTCATTTCTTATTTCTCTATCCTCCTTAAAGATAAACTGCACCACTTCCCAGGCAGGAAATGTCGAAGCCTTACTCTCTTAAGAGGGGAAAATGTAAAACCTGGATTTAACTGGATCCTGATCATCCTCGATCACAAGCCCTTACATTATGCCAACCAAATCCAAAACAAGCGGAGCTGTTTCTCACTGCACCAAAAAAATCCCAACCTGCTACATAACAGAGAGAACGAGCTTGAAAGAAACCCTGGATTCTAGACCTTCTGTGTGATCCAGAAAGCAGAGGCCTCCAGACTCTGAACTGTACTGCTTCAAAAAGAAATACACATGGTCATTTCCCTTGGACCAAAAAGGGCTGGATGCTGGCACATCCTGATGTGTGAGTACCACAGCATCCTGGAGCTGACAGAGGAACTAAGTTAGCCCCATCCAATATTTGGCTCCCACTGACTCCACAGCATGAATGGCAAATACTGTAGTTGCTCCTATTGCACCAAAAAGTCCACAGCCCAATGCCTCCCCACAGATGTATGCTGCAAAAATCTCGATCCCTGCTGGATCCTACCAGCTTTTGGCCCCTGAATCCCAAGCTGTGTCCCCTGGATTGAAAATAAGCACAGCCTCTCTGGGGCTGGTGACAGCCCTCGACCCCAGAGGGGAGTCCTGGGATTTTGCTAGGTTTTAACCCTAGACACCCAAATTATACTTGCTCCAGTGGGGAGAGCAAATGTAGTAGCTGTTTGTGTATCAGAAATATGTTCCTGGATTGTTTTGTGGAATACAGCTGCACCAGGAAAAAAACTAACTCATATGGCTGGATCATAATATTTGGCACCAAAACAAATAGTATTGTTGAAAAAAACAAAACATCTCCCATTTTACCTGGCAAAACCAGGGCCCATATCAACTGGGATTTGCACCTATGGAGGAGTATCTATGTCATTAAACCATTTTTGGTGTGAAATGTTCTGTATTCTCTAATCAACTTGCAGGATTGTGAGTCTGGCAAAGTCAGTCATCCAAACCATAAAGGTTACAATCATCTGCATCTACTGAGTCGGGTCTATTGCAAAATTTCACTGTTGTATTATGAATATTCACTGTGTCTGGAAAGCTCAAGGTAAATTTAAGAGTTTTACTGAAAAAAGGGACTACTTTAATTTTTTTAGCAGTAACTTCCCCTTGTTGATAATAATAACAGTCAATATTTAAGGATCTCCGGTTTTTTTAAAAATTGTTCAGCACAGATGGATCCACTTCTATAATTGGATGTTTCAAGGAACTACATGTCCATAGATAAAAAGAATTAGATGTTGCAGTGGGCCTGGAGCAGCCATACTTGTTGTCTGTTCAGAAATAAAATTGGAGTTTTGTGGCTGAAAAGCTGTTGGCTCCTATAAGAAGATAACAAACAGGTTTCTCATATCACACCCACACAGAGATGAAAGTGCACCTGGATTTCTTTGTCAGTTTTTAGCATCAAGTCCAAAGCTGAAGGATGAGAACAGGGAACAGGCTTAATTTTATGAACCATATTTTTTGGCTGATTGTTGGATTTTCTGTTCAAGCACAAGAGCCTGCTATGTTTATTCTCTATTTAGATTGAAGTGGAAAGCAAAATTGTTTTCTAGTCTAAACATCCAGTTTAGACAGAATTGAAAGACTGGGACTAAGAGCAGAATGGAGGACCCAACTATTAGAACAGTTTTTTCTTGTTATACTGGCCAAAGATATGTGAGAGGGTGGGAAAATCATATAATTCCTTCTTGTTAAACATCAGGATTACAGTCCAAAGAACCAAGATTTGGTTGGACACAGGAAGGTCCAGGTGCCAGGTTTTCCCATCACACTCCAGGAGAGCAAGACAGTTTGGGGCAGGAGGACTTTTGTGCCTAGAGAAGCCAGACTTGTTCCCTCTTTTTATTCTTAAGCATTGGTATGAAAGCCAAAAATTGACATTCAGTTCCAGGTTTTATCTTTTTCTCTGAAAAGTCATTTCAGTGGCAGTTTCTATCCTTTTTTTTTTTTTTTTGCTTACATTTGTAGCTTTTTCAGATGCAGTCTATATCTTTCTGCAAGTCACCTTAAACATATAACTGTAAGAGAAATTGTTGGATTTTAGTCCCTCTTTAATTCTCAGAATTAAACATTTTTCTCCTTCATCATCATCATTATTATTCCTTTTTTTCAGGAGGGGAGAGTATTGCTTGCTGCAGGCATTAGGAACCTTCCCAGTGTCTCTAATTGGGATTATTACAGACAGCCCCTTCCCAGCACAAACAGATCATTATTAAATTCTCTTCCTCCCACCCCACCCCTGCCTCACCAGAGGGGGGAAAAAACAATTCTTATTGAAAAAAAAAACAATCTTCCGATGAATGTAAGCTGGGAGAAGGACATTGTACAAAAACAAACCCACAACCCCTCCACGCACGTTTGGGCACACGGAAACCACTCCCGACAGTGAATTAAGGACATCTCAGCACAGGGCGCTAATTCATGGGTCTTAAATGAATCAGGGAGTGAAAATGCAGTTTCAGCGATGGATTGAAAGCTGAGGCTTTTTTTTCTGCGGGTCACGATTTCAGTGATCCAGGGAGAAAGCTATAGCACACGGGTGCACAGGAAAAATGTCTGAAGGCACGGGACAGAGGAGCGGAGCACGGTGATTCTGTTCAGAGGCAATTCCTTGTCCAGAGCCCAGCTGCCTGCTGGACCTCACTACGGATGGTGTCCTCCAGCTAGGGCCAGTCTCCTCTCCATTCCCTCCCAGCATCGCTTCCTCTCTCCCGAGCATCCTCCAGCGACCATCGCGCCTCTCCAGAGAGCTCCAGACACAAAAGCAAAGCGAGCGCCTGTAAAAGGTACACAGAGGTGGGGTCTGGGGCTAGGAGGGGGAAGGGCAGGCTAAATGGACAGACTAAATGCACAACCAATAGCAATTTGCTTTCCTTCGTCGGTTTGCTTTTTTTTTTTGGGGGGGGGGGGTCTGTTTTGGTTTTTTGGGGTCTTTTCTACATCAAAAATGACCTCCACCATATTTTTCTCCCTTCGTCTTTTTTTTTTTCTTTTTTTTCTTTTTTTTTTTTTGCGTTTAAAGAAAAAGAATTCAGTGCCATCTAGTGGGGGAGGGGATGGAGCAAGTCAAGGCGCTGCCCATTGCCAGGGATCTATGCTTCTAATTCAGTTATTCAACAGGGAGAGATGACCCTCAGTGTTTCCCTGCTCTCTCTGTGATCTTCAGCTCCCCAGAGGTAATGTTTAATTTACATGGGCTCCAGTCTTCATTCTTTGTAAAGAATCACCTACTGAAGTCAAAGGGACTCGTCCTAGTGTTGTATTACCTGAAGCAGTACAGGCTCTGGAGGCAGTTCGCTGCCCTAATTACAGGATTTCAAACACAAGACAGTAATCAAACCAAACACAGATATAACAAATTACGTCTACTAATATTTTTTATCATTCCAGTGCACCTTGAATACTGGCCTCCATGAATCCTCAGCATGTCAGCCCTCCTAGTAACACAGCCATAAAAGAAGCTACCATGAAAGCATCTTATGATAACTTCCACAAACACTTGAACCATCATTCAAACAGATTTTGGATGTTCAGGTGACTCAGAACCAAGCAGAGGCTCTATAAAGGAGGATATGAACAAAAAAACACCATATAAAAGTTTGTTATCTAAACCCCAGGCATTAACCAGTTGTCAGTGTCCCTTCTATCTATTTTTTTTTCATAGAAAAAGAGTTTTTCAAAGGGAAGTATCAGCCAGCTGCATAAACACAGGCTAGCCACACAGACATACACACACACAGAGACACAGAGAATAGGCGCACAGCTGTCTACACACTCACGTGTAGCTGTGCACACACTGATATCTAGATGCACTCAACAGCACCTAGCTGCATGTCCTCTGCCCTCCCCACTGGCAACTCCCCAAAGAGATTAGTTCTGCTCTCTCAAAAAAAAACCCAAAAATAAAAAGCATTTGGATTGTAAAGTTAAGCAACTTAGTGAAGGCCAGATTTAAGATCACCCATGGAGAATTAATTTGCTCAACATGCAAACACACTATGATATGATCTTTAATAACATGATTTTTGTTTCCATGGGTCTCCCATTTTTTATAGTGCAAAGGATGAATGTTGCTCACTTAATGAACACTATTCAAATTTTCTCCTATCCTTATCATCCAATGTGTGGTACATGTACTATTTATTGCAGAGCATCCAGATCTTGCATTGCATACAGAATGATTAATTTCCTCATGGGCTTTTCTATAGTGGTGCTCTAATTGTAGTGTTGGAGGGCTGGGGGTTTTTTACAAACATCAAGGAACTTATCTTCACAGCTCCCTGCTGAGGGACAGAGATAAAAGGCAGTATTTTCAAATGTGTCAGTGTATTTTGGGTACTCTATTAAAGGAACTTAGAACCTAAACTTCCAGAGTACTTAGCACCTTCCTTCCTCAGAGAACATCTCACAGCCCCTTTTGCTCTAGGCACCATGGGCA